GAATTCCAAAACCTAAGGCTGGGGCTGAGGATGTAGTTCAGTGGTAGATCCTAGGCAAATGTGAGGTCCTAGGTCCAATCCTCGTCAGGCCCCCCCCACCAAAAAATTTTTTTGCCTTTAAAGAAGACTGGGGAAATAGCTCAGCATTCTAACATGCACAAGGCTCTGGGTTCAATCACCAGGACTGCAAAACTAAATACAGAAAAATAGGGGCTGGGGGTTTAGCTCAGTGGGCTACCACCTGCTTCTCAAGCACAAGATCCTGAGTTCGATCCCCAGTACCAAAAAGAAAGAAAGAAAGAAAGAAAGAAAGAAAGAAAGAAAGAAAGAAAGAAAGAAAGAACCTAACCTAAATTGCAAAGGGAAAATCCATAAATGGGTAGCCATGATTCCAGAGAGTTTACAATTTACATGAAAATAACTGCAATACAAGATAGGATGAGGTAAGGATTATGTGGAAAGCCAAAGGGTGCAGAATGGAGAGCCACTGTGGACCTTCAAGAAGGGAGAGGATTCTGAGGCGTGAACCTGGGGAAAAGGCCACATTGGGCTGAAGGACAGCATGGACAAAGACACAAAAGAGAGGAAGAACATTCCAGGCATGTTAGAGCACAGAGAACAGCTTAGAGATTCTGAAATACAGAAAGAGAAAGAGACATCGGTAGACAGTAGAGTTAGGAAGTTTAGGACCAGGACAGAGAAAGCCTTGACTGTCTTGTGTAGAGGCTTAGTGTGGATACAAGGGTGCTGGGAATGGAGGAAGGGAACGTCAAACTCAGGTTATGTTTTGGAAAAGCTCCTAGGTACCTGTGCATTACAGAGGCCGAAAGAGAAAAAGGACAGATCAAAGGACCACTTAGGATGCTGTTTGAGTCATGTGTAGGAAAATGGATGCACCCTGAGATCATAACGTTAAGGGAAATAAATCAGACACACAAGCTTCTGACCACATGGTTTCTCTTTGATGAGAAGCTCAAAATATAAATAAAGAACAAAATAAAAGATAGGTAACAGAAAGTAGGGAGACAGATCTTTCTCAAACAGGGACCAGGAGATAGAGGGAGAGGAAGCAAACGGATGAAAAGAGGAATGAAGATGTGCTGTGTACGTGTACCAACTCCACACAAGGAATGTGAACCTTGTGTACTCCAAACAGGCATTAAAAATACATAAGTGAGGGCCGGGGATTTAGCTCAGTGGTTCCACCGCCTGCCTTGCAAGTGCAAGGACCGGAGTTCGATCCCCAGTACCAAAAAAAAAAGCAATATAAAAATACATAAGTGAACAAATAAGTAAAATGAGTACACAACTAAAAAGAAAAAGAATATAAGGGAAAGTAACCATCATGGTGCTAGACAGTAAAAAATTGTTTTGATTGGAAGGAAGGGACAGTTGTGAAAGGAAGTACATAAGAGCCATTTACGCAAAGTGACTAATAAGTTTAACTTTAGAGGGTATTTTTCTAAAGTCTGGAAAGATTATTGTAATCCAACAAGTTTCCTTCTTCTTTAATAGCTGCTAATTCAAAAGGTGGTACATTTTTTATTCCCTCTGAATTATTCCACCATAACTTAGTACCATATAGTAAGAACTTTATCTCCTGACCTATTACTCATAGATTTGTATATATATTATTATATATATAAAATATATCATAGATTTGTATATATATTATTACTCATAGACTAGTATATATATATTTGTATATATACATGTTTGTGCTTGTGTCTATATGTATAACAATAGCCACCACAGCCACTAACGTGATGAAACCTTTCTGTGAACCAGGCACTCTCCTGTACCTTTCATGGACACTGGCACATTTAATCCTCCATACAACCCTGAGTTTATATGAACAGGTACTGAGGTAAGGTGCTACCTACCCTGATTAACACTACCCAGAGGAGCAGAGATTTGAATTCAGGCAGACCTGACTCCAGAACCTGTCCCTTTAGCTACTCAGCTGTACTTCATTTTTCTTTTCAGCAATTACACATACATGAAAGTAGAATGCCACAATAGAACAAAGACCACATGGGACAAATAGAAACAAACAGCAAGATGATAAACAAATCAAAACATATCAATAATCACATTAAATGTAAATGTGCTAAAATCCAAATTAAAAGATAGAGATTGCCTTTTTGGATAGACAGAAATACAAAGCAAATTCTTGCATAATGGACTCGGCCCCACCCACACTCTCTTTCCCCTAAATCCTTCTCGTCATCATTCTGTTCCTACCCCTACCTCACTGTGGTCTTACTCTTAAACACTGTCTGGCTATTAGGACACAGTGCCTTTGGCAGGTCTATCACTTACTGCATATCACTGTAAAAGGGACTGCTGTAATGGATTCATCTTCTCTTTTCTCTAAGAGTTTAAGTGTCATGTGGATTGAAGTTCATGACACATTTACTCTGCATTTCCCATTTCCCATTGTACTAGTTTGTCACAGAAAAACAGGCTAAGAAAAAATTTAGAGAGGCTTGATAAATGACTGTCTTTCAGAAAAATCTATGACTTTGTCATTGAGCATAATATCAATACGTTAAGTTGAAAGGTTTCTTTCCTTGGAAAAGTCCACATTATCCTAGTATCTTCTGGTTCATAAATATTTTTACAATCAGTTTTCTTTATTTTATCTTTCAGAGGTACTGATTATAGCCACCTACAAGCCTGAAATAGACTTCTACCATATTCCGTAGCAAGGAATTTAGAAAAAGGACCAGAAACACCCATTTCCCAAGGTGTGTGGCAAGATACCTGCATTCTCCCTGAAAGAATGGCCACATTGCATTGACCAAAACACAGAACTGCCTTCTAAATCCATATGCTTTTCCAAGCTCAAGAATTTAGCTCTAAGCAACCTTCTCCCCTAATTCTTTTTACCTTTGCTTTAACAAAATGAAGTTTTAGAAGTTTCCTAATTTGGGGTTCTTAAAAATACAGGGAAAAGGCCAGGGATTTAGCTCAGTGGTTCTGCTGCTTGCCTCACAAGCACAAGGTCCCGAGTTCAAGCCCTGGTACCAAAAAATACAGGGAAAAGTGGGCTTTTGATATTCATTATCTTCCCTCAGAAATGTAAATTTAAGAGGCATAAGCAAGCAACTGTTACCTTTATTGCAAGTTTTGGTTCCAGCCTTTATGGCTTCTCAAACCTGAAATTTCTACTAACATTACTGTTTCATTGAGTCCTGCCTTGTAGATAGCCCTGCTTGAAGAACTCACTGAACAGTATACAAATATGCAAATGGTAGAAGCAGCATGCAATTCAACTTTCCTTCTTACCAGGTTTATGAAGGGCTTCCTGAGGGCTCAGTCCTTGGTGACCTGGGCCAGCATGTCCTGTCTGAGAAGATGGTGCAACAGTCCTGGCAAGTGAGTGCTTAGAAAGAACCAGTAAGAGAAACATTATTTTTATCTCTGATGAAGCAGCCTTAAAGACATGGCTCCATTACACTAAGGGTCCCTTAGCCCCCACTCTAAGGGAAAGAGGTTAAGTGTACCGGTGCTATTTGTATTTGGCCTTTGTCTCACGCAGAATTAAGTTAAGGTCCCCTCCTAAGGGCAATTAAAAACAAAGTCTCAACAACTTTTGCTTTATTTATTTCTTTCTTCCTCTGCACAAGTTAACCTAGCCCTCTCTTAAATTAATTATAGTCCAGAACAGAAAAACAGTCAGGTGCTGATTTTTACCTTTAATTAATTTTTATCCTTAAGAAAGAAACAAGAAACCTATAGGAAGGTATTAATCTACTTAACATTTCTAAGTACATCATCCAAAGGATTTTGTTTTTTTAATCTTACATATGCTCAGCAGAGTTACTGGCAAAAACTGTACATTTTCTTCATTTCATCCTTTCAACATCAAATAGTAGGCAGCAAAAATTGGATCAGACTTCAAAGCCTGCTGTGGGCTCCAAGTCACAGAGAGATGCCTCCATTTCACATATTGAATTCGAGCAGGATATCAAAGTGCTACCAAAGAACCTCGGGTCCTTACTCAGAAAGAGGCTCTACCATCTGCGGAGTGGAGCGCACCCACACATGGATCACCTCAGGGAGCAGCCAGCATTTATTCTCAGCAGCAAATTTCCAGGCTTTCGATTCTCATCTTCGCTGTACCTCCCTGGCTCTCTACTAAACCAGAGTTCTTTAGCAGCCTGGGCTTTTGTCTCAAAGACTTCAAAATATCACTAACAGTTTCATGTTTGGATGGCCAGGCCATGCAGCCACAGACAGGCTTTGCATCACGACTTGGCCAGTTCTGAAGGTAGAACATGCGGGTTCTTCAGAATAAGATGTCCAGCTACCTTATTTGCATGTCCCGCGAAGGCATCACACCCTCTCAGAGAACTCTGGGCTTGTAAATGCCTAAAAAAGTAACAACAGTAATTTTTAAAGGGCTTTAAAATGAAAATCAAAAACAAAAGCTTAAGGAGGATTGTTTTCCTCCAAAGAACTATCAGAATATACTTTCAGCTTTCTTTGTTTCCAAGTCAATGCTTGGTCTAAAGGCCACTGTCACCATAAACAAATGCACATCCTGGTCACTGTTGCTCCTCCATGTTACAACACATCCACAGTGTGCTTGAGGTCCTAGGACCCAGGAAACTGACTGTAAAGTTGTGGGATTGAGTTTGGGGTCGTGAGGATTATTGGGCCTCCACAAACTTTTCTGAGAAGACAAAAATGTGAATGGTGAGACTGCACAACCTAGCCCAGACCATTCATCACTTCATTGCTCAAGAATTTAAAATGGGTTCTGTGGTCAAATCCTTGGGAATGGGAATGCCAGGAGGTACATAGCTTGAGAGGGTTTCTAACTGCAGGAATATTCTTAACAATCACAAATACATTTAGGGAACACTAAAGCCGAAGCAGCGGCTGATGCAGGGTGTCCTAAAGTCATCAGACCATGAAGTTTAAAGTGATAAGCAATTACCATCTGGGAAAATATTAATTTTTCATGGAACCAAGTTTGTACTTGATCAAATGTGTGATTATAACACACAATTAAAATAGTAGCTTCTCTAACAATGCCTTTCAGATGGAACCCAGTAGAAAGGAAATCGCTGACAAGGAAAAGGTGAGCTGCCTCTGACCCTGTTTTGACATCCCAGCCACACACACACACACACACACACACACACTAAAAGAAAAAATACGTGACTATGGATAATTATTCTTTTCTGGGTTCTCACCTTTCTCGTATATACAATGGGGGAAATGAAATGAGATAAGTTATTCCTGAGGTCTCTTCCAGTTCTACATTAATCATCTTTCTTTCTTTTTTTTTTTTTGGTACTGGGGATCGAACTCAGGACCTTGAATTTGTGAGACAGGTGTGGTGCCACTGAGCTAAATCCCTGGCCCCCTAATCATCTTATTTTTTACTTAAACTGACAAATTCATTTCACTATTTGTGCCATTTGTGGATATTGTCTTCACAATGTATCAACATATAGATTATAAGAAATATGCCTATTAAAACATCACATCAATATCTGGGAGGAAAGAATTATAATGAGACATTTATTTGTGTCCATATTTCCATTGTGTCCACAATGGAAAGTAAGCTCCGTGAATCAGGGACTGGGGTTGCTTTATTTCACATTCTGTATCAGTATCTAGCCCAGTGCCTGATACTGAAGAGTGCTCAATAAATATTAGACAGTTTCAGGGGACCTCTAAGATATGAGGTTATCTGTAAGAATATCTTTAAAATGAAAATTAACTAATTGGTAGTAATATAGCCCTTCATATTTTTTTAAAAGGCTTTTAGATATCTAGTCAGAGCCTCACACCATTTGAGCCAAGTACTTTAACAATTACATAGATGAAGAACTGAAGTTCATTCAGAGAGGTTAAGGGATTTTCCCAGGTATCATGATGAATTCCAGGTAGAGGTAAGACACTGACCTACATTCTTCTGGCCCCAAGTCCTCAGAACCATGATGCCCCCAGAGATGTTCCTCAGTCTCTGAGCATCAACCTAAGGGACTCACTTTTGTCCAGCCTAGGCAAGTCCCAGGGGCTACAGGACACTTATAGGACAGGTACATTCCAAGCTCTACTGGGAGGCCTGGTAAGCTTTGGGGGAAAATCCAAGGAAGAGAGTTTGGCTGTTCATTTACTGCCCACTCTGCAAATTCTGCCTTTTCTATCCACTAAAAGAAATTTGAACCTCTCGAGTAACCTACTTTAAGACCCAAAGACCTGTTGAGATGCCTTCCAACTCTTCCTGTGGAATGTCTCACCCATCTGCCTTTCTCCTCTTTTAAGCCTTTGGAAGAATCTGAGGCAGCTTAATGTAATGTTCATATGTGTTGATTGGTTTGAAAAAGGCAGGCTGTACCATAGTAGTAAGGGAATAGTGCCTGTAGGCAAATAGATTAGAAAATATTTGATTATACAAAGTTAAGCAGGCTTCTTCCCGAGAAGCTTTCTAGAACCATGATAACATCAATAAAACTCCAAGAGAGGAAAAGAACAGGAAACCATTCCTAGACGTTAACAGCAGCCCCTTCTCCTGTGCAGTACCCTGAAGGACACTTCATTCTTAGAACACACCTTGGGAAACACTGACCTGAGCAGTTCTTTTCAGAACAAATTTCAATTTGCTTTAAAAAAAATACTTCAAGCCAATTTTCATCAAAAGTCTAACTGCCTCAAATTCCTTTTCAGTGATTTCATTAGGCTATTCCACGACACCCACACATGAGAATACTAGCAAGTGAATAATGCTCTGCAATCCATCACCAACAAAATAGGAAAAGCACAATTATAACGAAAAGCTCATGCTTATTGCATGCATACATGCCACCAGGCACCAGGCAGAAAGTATGTGCATAGTTATCCCATGTAATACAGCCAACAGGATATGGATTGACTCTGGATTTGTTGTTGTTTTACTTTTTTGTAGGGCAGTCTACCACTGAGCTGCATTCCCAGCCCCCTTCCCCCTTTTTTGAGACAAGGTCTCATTAAAGTCTTGACCTTAGTGGGACTTGACCTTGTGATCCTGTTGCTTCAGCCACCAAAAGTGCCAGGATTACAGGTGTGCACCCCCACACCTAGCTGATTGATTCTGTTTTTATACTCATTTTTTACAAATGAGGGAGTTAAGGATCAAGAAGCTAATGATTTGCCTTGTACCATAACTGGTAAGCAGCATAGCGTAAGACCTGCTCACTCTGGAAAAGGAAATGCTAAGGAGAAATTATGGATTCAGGCAAGGATTTTCATTGCTGATAAAACCATTAGACAAATGGTTGATGGGGACTGGGACCATATGGTGCCAAAGTACTACCATACAGACGCTTCCTTTCAGGGCACAAGAGGAACAATGCACCTGGGAGAAATCAGAAAGTCACCATTTTAATCCCATGCTGAGTCTCAGCACCACTAATACCAAGACAACACTGTCTTGGGAGGCAAGACACAATGAAGTACTCAACATCACTCAGTATTTTTTTTTTCCTTTCCGTCAAAACATTTAACCTGAATCTAATTGAGACTTTAGATCTATCTTACAGTTTACACAAAACACAGGGCATAAAAGGACACAAGAAAGCAAGCAGATAAATACAGAAGGGGAGGTAATTTAGGGGACAATCTGCCCAATCTCTTAAAAAGTCAGTGTCATGAAAACCAGGACTAAGATATAGCAATTTGAGATAAATTACCACTCAGATTAGATCTTGGCTTGGACAAAGAGGTGCAAAGGACATTCCCAGAATAATTAGGAAATTTTGACTATGCTTTGGTATTAGACAAAATTAGGAAATTACTCATTTTTAAATGTGATACTATTTTTCAACCTCCTGGAAACTTAAAGTTAAGTGTCCTCTGCCTCTAATAGGAATCACACCCTAAGGGGCAGAAGCAACAAATCCAGTTATCAAAGGGTGGCAAACAGGACCTAGTTCCAGGGCTCCCTGGACTCTTAGAAGTGTAACTAAAGTCTCAAGCAGATCACCTCCAGGGCTCAGCTGCTCTGCTCAAGTCAGTGCACTCAACTTTGCCTTGCAGGGGAAAAGGAAACTCATGGGTGAGAAGCCTTCTGCTGGGCATCTGCCCTGAAAAAGCCCCCAAAGGGAACTCATATCTAATTCTCTCTTAACTCCAAGCCCCACATGACCGGATGAGGAGCAGGAGGGGGCTGGCTCCTGAGTAGCTGGCTGCTGGAAAGGCTCAGCCTCTCGCTTCTTTTACAGCAAAGATTATGAGGTCAGCTGGCTCTGTCATGCTGGGCTGGAGACACTAGGTGAAGCCACCGTGGTCCAGGGACTGGAACTCAGCTTCGCAGGCTCCAAAATTAAATTTGTCAGTTCATCGAGGGATGATGGTTTGGGGGCAAGCTGAGCTGTATGAACTAAGCAAATGCAGAAGAGCCACACTGTAAAAGTAGAATGCCAGTGTGTGGTTTTGCAGAGTAGCATAATCAGGATTGTACTTGTTCCCTCACTGGTTGGTTTTGATATACTCTGGAGAGCAAGTTACACAGCAGAGTTAGAGCCAGAAAGAAGAGTGCTCTGGGAGGATGTACCTGATCTGTCAAGATTTCCTGGTACATGGCATTTTCTCGCTTCGGGGTTAGAATCAGTAACCTTTTTCCTAGTTGGGCGTGGAGGCACCAGCTCCTCACTGGCGCTCCATTTTCTTAGCTTCCTTAAATTACATTTTCTGTGTATTTTTTAAAATTAATTTTCAGTTTTTTAAGATTATGTCTTATCTTTTATCAATTACAATGGCTTCTAGACAAGCCGAGAAATTCATTAATGCTTCACACTTGAAAGCATATTCTAATTTCAAAACAGGATAGGTTGCAGCTTATTCATCCTGGGTTGATTTCTGTTAGATTCCTGCTCTCTCTAAATTTGGGAGCATTTCTCGATGAAAACTCACATCTCATTGAGTGCCCTGGAAAAAAGGCTAATCAGCATGACCATGCAAATTTGTTCCTGCTTCTTTGATACCCTTGAATAACAATCTTTTGTGCCTGGAGCTCTTATAAGAGGTCAATTTCTTGCTCCCAAGAAGCAGCAGCTAGGCCACCACACACAAGATAAGCTGGATCAGGATATTTGAACAGAGTAGAGCCCTGGGGCCTTGAGGGAGGCAAGTTTCAGATAAGCAAGTCATATAACTTTCCTTATGGACATTATTACCAGGCTAGATGAGAGAAAACACAAATATCTTCAGATTCAGGTTCAATGCATTCACACCCTAAAGATAAATTAAGACATTTAAGAAATGACATCAAGGAAGAGGACACTGTCCTTTGTTAAGATCCCCTGCTGAAGATGAAAACAGCACTGAGATTCCACCTCACCCCAGAAAGAGTGGCTGCTATCAAGAAATCAACAAAT